TTGATTTTAAAAAAAGAGGAAAAAACAGGGAAATTTTTTCTTCTCTTCTTCTTCTTTTTTCTTCTCCTCTTTTTTTTTCTTCTCTTATATTATTAATAGTATTATTTCTTTTTCCTTGTTGAATTCAGTTATTATATCTTCTTTTTTTTGTCTTTCTGTCTGTCTGTCTGTCTGTCTGTCTGTCTGATTGACTTCTTCTTGTTCCTCTTCTTCTTCTTCGTCTTCTTCTTGTTGGTCCTCGTTTTTCGTCTTAATGTTGCCGCTGTTCTTCACCAAAACTCCTTAGTGTTGTTGTTGCTGTTGCTGTTGTTTGCTAAAATGAACGGCCAACCAAACAAAAAGTTGTACACACAGAGATACAGAGGAGCAGTCTGGTTCGTGAAAAAAAAATTTGAATGAGTTTTAAAACAAAGAAAACAGCCACGACGAAAGCAGCAGAAGCGAAGAAAAAAGACGGAGTTGAAAAAAGTTTCGTGCCAAAAAGCGCCACTACAGTATACCACAGAAAGCAGCTGATACTGCACAACGAGCCGAAAACAAAACGAAACCTTTAGGGGTGGGGGAGGGGGAATTTTTTTTTTCCCTTTTTTCTTTGCTTTTTACTTTTTTACTTTTCACTTTTCTTTTTCTTCTCTCTTTCTCTCTGCGTCTCTCCTCTTTTTGTTTTTCCTCTTTCTCTATCGTCGTCTCTTCGGCTGTTTAAATATTTCTGCACAGTTTATATGTTGGTGCCTTTTTTTTTTTCAAGAGAATCGTTTTTTTTTTTTTCTTTTGGGTATCGTTACTATGGATTGCTGTCGTTGTCGTCTTCGTTGTTGTCGTTGTTGCTAATATCGCCGTTAATTATTATTATTTTTTTTGTTGTTGTTGTATACAGTTGTTGAATAACAACAATAATAATAATAATAATAGTAATAATAATAAAAATAATAATAATAGTCGGTGATTATGTTGATTATCGTTAAAGAAATGGTAATCAAATTGCAACAGATGACTGTTACTGCTAATAATGACGATAATGATGATAATTGGTATTATCGATGCTCAATTGATAACAGTAGTTGGCAGTAATATTTTTGTATTGCTCAATTTAATATCAACAACTACTGTTACTGCTACCGCTGTTGTTATCGCTGCTACTGCTGCTGATGCTGATCAGTGATGAACAGTAAATATTTTTGTCGAAATTGTTCAAATAAATAATATTTGTTGTATGTTAGGTAGAGAAGAAAAATAACAACAACAACAACAGTGAGGTTTGATTGCTGAACCGATACAGATTTGATGTTAGGTGTCCAGATAAATGATTATTATTTTTATTTATTTATTTATTTTTTCTTTGCTTTCAGTTAAATATGACTCTGAAGGCTACTAGTATTTCAGTTGTTGTTGTTGTTGTTGTTATCGTCGTCGTCGTCGTCGTCGTCGTCGTTGTCGTCGTCGTCCTCGTGGTTGTTGTCGTTGCTTTTACTGCAGATGCTGACGTAAAAAATATATATATATATATATATATTTTCTAGTTATTCCACTTTCTTTTCGCTTTTTTATTATGTTTTTTTCCCCAATAAATTTTCTTTTTTTTTTTTTCTTCTTCTTCTTCTTCTTCTTCTTCTTCTTCTTTCTTCTTTCTCTTCTCCTCCTTATTCTTCTTGTTCTTCTTCCTGTTGTCCTTCTTCCTGTTTTGCTTTAGTTAGTTTGACTTTCGGTGTAAGTGAAAAAAAAAGTCGAATTTTTTTTTCCGCACTAACGCACACACCGAAAAGGCGGAGTTTTGCGTTTTGGTTGGCTGAAATTCAATAAATATACAGAAAGGAAAGGAAAGAAAAAAAAAAAAAAGAAGAAGAAGTAAAATTTTTTTCTTTCAATCTTACAAAATTTTTTTGTTTTCTTTTTCTGTTCACAAACCTCAAAATACTGAACGATAGTGGAAAAAAAAAA